GAAGAACGATCCATTGTGCGCATCGCAGTAATATATAATTTTATTGTGTTATCTTAATGTCATTCATAATTATCTTAATGTTATCCACAATTAATTGAACATTCGACTCTATGTTAAGTCATCAGCAATGTAATCATATACAATTAGTAATTAATATTCGTTTATTTTCGATGCGTTAAGAATTGAGTCACAAACAAATTGCGTGTGTATAATTGCGTGTATAATATGTGTATAATTTAAATTTATGTTTTAATGTAAAATAAAATTAAAAAACGTACGTATTTATTTTTAATTTGATCATTATTTTATTTCTGATATTTTAGATTCTGAAGTCACTCACTTACTTAAATTTTTTTGCTATCTTATTCGAATAAAAGAATAATGTAATTATGTAATCTTGTAATTCCATGTAATTGATAATTATTAACATAACTCAACATAATTTTAATGTATACATAAAATATATTTTTAGCATTATTTGTCATATTTTTAATATTATATATTTAATTGAATTTAATATTTAATTGAATTTAATGTTATGTCTTTCTCTTCCAAAACAAATAAAATTTAAAAGAGTTTTATAGATCTACAAAATTTATTTTAAAATCAAACTTAAAAATCGATAATGAATATTTTAATCTTCATAATTTCTATATCATGCTTTAGATAAAAAATTGAAGTATTAATTCTGTCTTGATCTATAATTACTGCAATAATTACTTGATCTATAAGTACAAAGATATGAGGTTTATGTTATTTATTGCAGTGCAATTCATCAAATGCAATCGTAATAATCTCTTGAAAAAGTCGATATTACAGAATATTGTATGACATTAATTTTAATTGCAAATTCTTTCCTTCTATCTCTTTCTCTCTCTTTATTAAAAATAAAATTGAGCAATATAATATATTGTAAAAAGTGCAATGTTTAAAATGTTTATGTTTAAGACATCTTTACAAATGTTTAATAATAATAAATATTTTAATTTTAAATGTTTTAAATTCAAACACAGAGTTTGTTTATCGAAAAAGTTTGAAATTAAAAATTTTTTAATATTTAAAAAGCGGAGACAAGAATAAAACATTTTAATATTAAACACTTCTTTCTTCAATTAAACACTTCTTTTTTTCAATATAATATTGTATTACAACATTATGTAAAATGTTTTAAATATTTTTTTTTTAGTCTTGTCAGAAAAAAAAATCTTCGCTCTATTTAGGAAGTGTCAAAGTAATGTTAAAAAGAAAGACAAGGCATTAAACTGAAATGAGAACGATTAATAAGGATTTCTTTTGATTATTAAATGTTATTTATAGCAGACTTTCGACGAAGCAATTAAGTCGAACGATCTCCATTATTTTTTTACGGAAACTTAACGATTTACCGAGATACGAGATAGAAAAACAAGAATAAAGATACTTTTTTACTTTCAAAGTACAATTTGCTATGTCATCTATTGTAAATAGATGACTTATTATTTACTCATTTCGTTCGTTAATCCGTTATTTAATTCTTTGAGGTGGACGCGGCATTACTTTGAGGTAATCGCCGTACAATACGTTTTCTGTGAATACGTAATAAGAATCTTATGAATAATTCCAAATACTTCAAAGTTATATATGGCTAACTGTATACATTGAAATCTTCGTCACATTTTCCAAATAAAAAAAAATAGCTCACACGATTCCAGCAGTGTAATTTCTAGATATTCTTGAAATTTTAAATTCTTGGAATCTTAAATTGTAAAATTTTCTAAATTACAAGAATTGATCATTATGTTATGTAAAAATATTTATTTAGATAAAAATGTAATTGATTAATATCACGTTGTTTGTTGAAGTTAATTCGCGTTGCGTACATAAATTAGTACAAAATGAGTGTCAGAAATGTAAATATTGCAAAGCTGAATAAATTGATTAAAATATGTCGCGTTTATGTAAAATATAGGATGCGTCATCAAAATCTGGATAAATTTTAATTTAAATTTTCCGTTATATTTTGGCCTCCGCCAGAGGTTGTTGTTGGCATCTGAGAAAGCCTGATGCTTCTAGTAAACAATCATATTCTCAAAATGGCCGCAAAACCAAGTGCGGAGTATAATCGAAGAGCCGCAATCATCGAAGACCTTCGCGCTGGATGCTCAGCAACGAAAATAATTCGGTTCTTTGGATACCGATCAACTGTTTATGATATTGTGGCAAAATATACAGCTTTAGAACAATCCAACGAAGGTATGCCAGCAAGAGTCACTCGAAAGAACGCACCGCAGTTGTTGAAAGGGCTCAAACGCTGATTTCGGATAACCGAGGGCAATCGTGAAAATTAGCATCGATTGTTGTAAGCGAACCAACATTGCGTCGAATTGCCGAGAAAGACCTTCGAAATCGTACACATAAAAATATAACAGATTGTCTCTGAGGTTACCAGGATAAGCCGAGTTGCTCGCCTCCCATTCTGGCCTCCCAACAGCCTAGATTTAAATCCCTTGGACTATTACGTAGGATTAATATTATGGAGTATAGTTGAAAGGATCACAAACAAGTCGGCATCTCAATGTGACGTCATTAAGGACCACTATTGAAACAGCACTCGTCGGCAGCGTTACATTACAGCATATGTGCGAACACTTCAGATCGAGAATAGAGGACATTATTCAAGCTAATCATTATTCAAGCTGGGAGATCGAATAATTAGAGCTCTAGAGGGATCCTCCAAGTGCTATGTAAAAAAATTTTTTGTAATATTTAATTTTTCATTAAAAACATTTTGTTTAAAGAAATTGTTCGATTTATCCGGATTTTGGTGATACACTCTGTAGATTCCATGATATGAAAAATATCGTGTGAGTATCTTAGTCTCTACGTGTCAGATGACAAGTTGTAACTATGATAAGCAATCATGTAAATTAAGATCAAAAGTCTTAGTTTGAATATCATAATTTTGGTTGCACTAAAATTATATCGTAAATAATATTAAAGCGAGAAAATACAAAGAAAACCGCCAAAAAAGAGCCAATGATCAATGACGGAATCGCATTATGGCTTGGCTGTGATTGACGATAATGATTCCGATCCACATCTTGCCTTAGGCAAGGGTTGCGCGGTGAATCAGCAACACTGCCGCCACCCCATCCCCAAGGAAACACTCATTCTCTCCTCGATTGCAATTCACTACGATTCGCGATCTTGAACCTCTTATTGTACTGATCTCTGATGTAATTTGCATCGCAAGAAACGTAAGTGCATGCGCGCGGATGTTCGCGTAGCGAGTCAAAGTTCTCCGTTCGCGGAAAATAACAAAGGGAAATAGTAAAGACGATACCGTATTCGGATGGTCTTGACTGGTCCGATTGATCCGCAGCGCCACTACTGCCATGTCCGCGGTCCACGGCAAAGGGGAATACTCACAGTTCTCTCGGTCGATAAGCAATGTCCAAAGAAAGGAAAATTATAGAATCATCAAATTATTTCAGATCAGTTTTTCAAAAACTTGAAAAAATTCATCTAAATAAAATTTCATAAAATTTTTCATCCCAATCTAAATAAAAACAATACAAATTTTTAAATTATTAAATTCAAATTCAAATTTAGAAGATGGCCCAGAATTTACGAACTTAATTTCATTTTTAATTTTAATTTCACTTTTAATTTTAATTTTAAATAAAATCTAAATTAATTTGTCAAACGTACGTTTTTTAAATTTTAATCTTAATAATGATTTAAAAACGATTAATTTTTATATTTATAGTATTGCAACAAAAATTAAAATTGTTGAAATACCTGATAATAATTTTGAAATATCTGATAATAATTTTGATTTATTTGTAAAATTAAAAGCTCTTGAAGCAAGAATTGCAATTAGATAATTAGATGATTGATGATAAAATGATTATTTTTATACACAACTATAGGAAATAAAACCCAGATTATTTTCATCATTCCATACTCACTAAGATTTTAATATAAAAATATATGTACAAACCGATCGTCGATGTTTACATTCTTTAAAATAAATTATTGATTGGTGAATTATTAAACACTTTTAAACAACAAATCAACAATTTTTATAAATTTATAAAATATTAATAAATATGAGATAGTTCAACAGTAATTATTAAACACAAAGCTATAATTAATTATATTCTTTGTAAGATTGAAAATTATAATTACATTTTACGACTATAAAATATTAATCTCGGCGCTTTAAATTGTACAAAATTTCAGCAATTATATAATTATATATAGCATAACAATGTAATAAAAATTTTTTCGGTTCCCGAATCTTTTTAGTATGCGATGTCAATTGAAATTGTCATATTGCTCATCGTACGATTTATTATATATGAGTCTCATATTAAATGAGTAAATCGATGTCTCTTACACTTGAATACATAGTTTTATTAATCTTAATTGACACGCAATTTGATCGTCTATCTGTCCGAACAATATACATATATTAAAAGTTGTAAAAACATTTTATAATAGATTCATAATTTTATATTTTTAAAAGCAAAAAATAATATGAAAAGTTTAATCCTTCTAACTTCTACATTAAATGTTTTTTTAATTAATAGTACATTTTTAATTATAATATTATCAACTAATGATAAAAGTAAGAGAAGCGTTACTTATGGTCACAGAAAACAAGAGATTTGTTTGCGTCATGTTCCAACATATTGTAATATGTTCCTCTCATAGCTCTTACTCATTCCAACGTGTTTGATAGAATGAGTAAGAGCTGTGGTAGGAGCATATTGGAGCATGTTGGAGCTTGCGACGTGAACAAACCTAAGATGTTGGCGATACATTGATTAAATATTGAGGATATATTTGGTCAATATTGGATCAATGTTTAGTTAATATTATGCTAATAATTATGCTAAGATCTATGTATATTTGAACATGCACACCAATTACTCATCCAAAATTTAATTACATTGAATATCGGATATAATGTTATCGAATTATGTTCTAATTGGGATCTTTTTGATTGATCATAGATCTTTATGAATTCTTATGGACTGGCGCCATCTGCAACGTTAGAAATCTGACAATGAGTGCACCGATGATTGCCGGCTGCGATGTTGCGAAACGGGGGAACTTGGCCCGACACGGCGCCGTACAAAAGCCGTCATATCGCGATAGCGTTCAGTTTGCATTTGTGTGCGCGCTTCATCGGCAGATAGCCGTGGATTTTCCTTGGAACTGTCCGTTGTAAAGAAGTGAGTAATTCACTTAATAAGAAAATATTACCGATCAACTGATAGAATATAAAAATCCGCGTAGCAAAAGCATGGACACGAATGAGTTAAAATTTGAAAAATTCGAATCCTCAATTTGCATTTACAAATAGGAATATGAGGGAATTAACATGAGGTCTTTGATTCCAATGATTAGTTGTGAATACTGAATTGTGGATAGCTAATTAGTATTGTCTACAATTATCTTCTCACAGACTGAATTTTTGATCGCTTTGCAAAAGATATGATAAGCTCTATGAAGATTGATTATTCCATACTAAAATAACGTTGTTAATTTTCCCTCGTTTCCCAAAATTTTATGCACTTGCGCAATAAAACAATAAGCTATCAAATCTTGCTGAATCATATTAAACTAAAAAAGTTTCGGATTTGTGAAGTAAATTTATCGTGAACGTTTTTCAATAAATTCATAAAACGGGGCAGCTTAAGGAACAGTCTTAAGAAGAAGAGCAAGTATTGCGTTATATTTCGGTAAGTGTGTCATTCCCAGGATTGGGTACAGATAGGCCGTGTTCTGATATGCATTGTCAGTAGTGAAAAATCTACAATTCACATTACGTATACTCAAAAGAAATTCTTAAAAATCTATCAAAATTTTAAATTAATTGAAATTCTAATAGATTTAACTCGAAAATGTTTAATTACAAATCAGACATTTGTAATTAAACATTCTAGTTGAAATGAACTAGAAATTGAAATTGCGATAATTAGAATTTTAAATAATATGATCAGAATTTGTTTTGTTTGTACTTCTTGTTGTATAATCAAAACATTTTTTTCAGTGTACACTATAGATTTATATTATTGACAACATATATCCGAACACGGTTTTGGACAACTTCTTAAATATATGCATTCCTGATAAATGTCTGTCATTAAGATATGTAGATCTACGAGTCATTTGTGAAATGGCAGACATCTTATTGATAAAAAAACCTAATATTATTAAAATTATGTTAGATAATATACTTTAAATCAATATATTGATGTTGTATTTTAAATCAACATTATGTTCGAAGAAGGGATCTGATTTGTGAAATTGTGCATCACGGTTGCGAGATCAGGCATCAATTATATTCATTTCCATTTTATTGCCATCTATCAAGTAATTCATTTTAAACGTGTATTTATATTATAAAATTACCGTGTAATTATTAATAGAATGTGTGCATACACACACACACACACACACACACACACACACACACACACACACACACACACACACACACATATATACATATACATACATATACATACATAAAATTAGAAGTCAGAAGTAATAACTTCAGTAATAATAATTAATATTTCAAGATGGACTCAGTAATCAAGAAATGATACTTATGAACATTTCCTACATATTCGGAATTGAGAATGGTGTAACAAGTTTGTTGAGTCATATAAATTAATCTTATCTCATGAAATGATATCAAATTCTTTAAAAATTGTTATAACTTACAAATAATCCAGTTGTAATAAACAATTATGATAAAGTTAAATATAAAGCACACAAAAAATTAAATATAAAGAAGCTTACAAATAATATTTCATCTCTTTTCAAAGAGAGAGAGAGAGAGAGAGAGAGAGAGAGAGAGAGAGAGAGAGAGAGAGAGAGAGAGAAAGAATCGATCAAATCTCAGTTAACTTTAACGAGTATTCATGAATCACATTAAACACAATCCACATATTTAATGTCAGTCAGACAAAATTATTCATATTGTTTTTTCTTTTAGAAAGTTTATTATTTCTTAGATTTCCTTCAACTTTATTAATTAATATATAAAAACGCTACTGTTTTTTTCACGTTTGCATTTTATGCTGTTCGTTATGCTATCAAAAGCGTAATCGTGAATTATTATAAATGTCTATTCAATTGATGATTTCTTACTTCAGATACATCTGTTACTACTATTATTTAGGAACTTTTTATGTCGTTGTATTTTTTAGAAGAAATAATATATTTATAATGTACGATTTATAATGTATACTGTAAAACGATCTCGCATTACGATATTGCTACATTTGTTTTAGTGCTGAGACATTATGTTGAGTCTCCAGATATTTTTTGTAGAAAATACAGTAGCATATAAGTCACTACTTTATTTTAAAGATAAAGTTATAAGTAAATAATTTAACCGCTGTTGGTGTTATCTTAATCTATCAGACGTCAATGATATAAAGGTAATCTTCCTCTCTCCTCCTTCTAATATTAATCTATTATAATCATTATTTTTAAGAATAATTAATAATTGGTTAATTCCTACATATATTTTTTCAATTAATTTTATAAGTGATATTATATACATTTTTTCTACATCTCATGGTGCGGTTTCTAACAGCACGTTCTGTTGTGTATGAAAAACGCTATGTTTCCATATATTTAGCGTTCAGCTGTTTGCATATTTCTTTACTGTCATATATTCACCTTGTGTAAATGTAAAACTGAAGTATGCAGGGGAATATGCTATTTCTCACTATTTAATGTGTCATACAACTTCTAGTCTAACCAGCTTTCGAACAGTCTTTAAGTTTATCGCATGTTGTTTTATTAGTTTAACTTTACCTTTGATATTAATTGTTATTATTTTATTAGTTTATTACTGAATGAGACTTTTTTTTATGTTTTTGAGAAATATTCCTATCGAGTCAAAATAAAATATGTATTAAATAATATTATTAAAAGTTTTTATTTTGTATGTTGCTCATTAAATAACCAATATTATATAATTTTTAATCATCATCTTTTCATTTTTTTATAATATAAAGGTTAAAATAAATTATGAGATATTAATAGTTAAATAATTATGTAATTAGTTAATTAATGATGTTTTTTATGTTGTTTAATTAATGATTTTTTTATTATGGTGATTTCTTTTATCTACTTTTTTTTACTTTTATATTTATTAATTTTAATATGAAAATTACTTTTACTATCAATGATCAAGAAGCTCAGAAATAAAACGTATCTAAATTTTCGTTATGATCTGTATTCGAACTAATTTACTTTAGTTTTGATGTATTGTCATATCAGGATGATATCGTGATTTATAATCGACTTCAACGAAAAGTAAATAGAGCATATTTGATAATTGCAATTATATATCAGTGTAATGTTTACGAAAGTTTCTCTCTATGTACTGATATCATAAATTTATTACTTATGTCATTAAGTTAAACAGAATTAATCAAAATTTAACTTTGTAATAGAAAGTCAATTCAAAAAATAAAAAATCTAATTACTGGTTATCAATTTGTCGACAAATTATTTAATTATCATTTGTAAAGGAGATTTGTTTACATATGTATAACGATAATGCGGACAATAGACGTATAAGCTATGATTTATTAAGAAAGATAAGGAAACTTGTTATTTTATTCGTAACTTTTTAGCATTTTATCTATAAATTATTTAATTATCATTTGCAAAAGATTTGCTTACATATGTAACGATAACGCGGATATACGCGTATACACTACGATTTATTAAGAAAGAATAGATAAAGAAAACTTGTTATTTTATTCGTAACTTTTTAGCATATTAAAGCGAAAAGATAAGATTTTTGTTAATTTCATGCTAAATATATGTCGTCATATTGTATACCTCTCATATGATTTATTGTTATTGAAGTCGGCTTTAAGGTCTTTTTTAACCGTGACAGGTACTCTCTGGTCACGTAATGTGTGTAACACATACGTAATCTGGGCGTGGATTAGAATGCGATTCACGGCATGAATGCGCACTTCCTCCTAAACCTGCATGTTGCATTGCATTATTGTTAACCCTCGAACCCTAGCAATGATATTTGTTTGTTGTCGTGGATTAGAATGCGCGATTTACGCAAATTCTGTTGTAGTTTAAAAAATATTTCTACCACTTTAATCATTATCTTTTAGCGAGATAGATTGTATGTTCCTTA